GGGGTGGCCTGGGGTGGAGATGTACAGCTGAGTGTCATCAGCGTACTGATGGAAGTCCACCCCAAAGCCACGAATGATCTCCCCCAGCGGCTTTACATAAATATTGAACAAAAGGGGAGAGAGGACCGACCCCTGAGGCACCCCACAAGTTAGGGGTCTAGGAGTCGACCTCTGTCCCCCTGCCAATACAGACTGCGTATGGTCGGTGAGGAAGGAGGAGAACCACCGCATAACGGTGCCTCCCACTCCTAACCCACCGAGACACCGCAGCATGATACCGTGGTCTACGGTATCAAAAGCCGCTGAGAGGTCCAAAAGAACAAGGACAGAGGAATATCCTCTGTCCCGGGCCCTCCAGAGATCATTAATCAACGCGGCCAATGCCGTTTCCGTGCTGTGCCCCGGCCTGAAGCCCGACTGGTATGGGTCTAGATAGGCTGTTTCATCCAGGTGCCGAGGGAATTGCCGTGCAACCACACTCTCAACAACCTTCGCCGCAAAGCGAAGGTTGGAGACCGGGCGATAATTGGCCAACTCATCTGGGTCCAGGGAAGGCTTCTTGAGGAGGGGCCTCACAACAGCCTCCTTAAGGGCCGCAGGGAAGACACCCTCCTGCAAAGAAGAGTTAATAATTCCCTGGAGCCAGGCTCGTGTACCCTCCCGAGCTGCCAGTACCAGCCAGGAGGGACACGGATCTAACAAACATGTGGTTGCATTCAGCCTCCCCAAGACCCTGTCCACGTCCTCAGGAGCAACAGAGTCAAACTCCTCCCATACAACCATCTCAAGACCTGCTTTTATCTCCTCCCCCTGGGCCAACCAGTCGGAGTCCAAACCTTCTCGGATCCGAGCGACTTTGTCATGCAGATATTGTGCAAAATCCTCGGCCCTCCCCTCCAGGGGATCCCCCCCCTCAGTTGAAGGAGGGAGCGGGTCACCCTGAAGAGGGCGGCCGGGCGATTATCTGATGACGCGATGAGTGAGGAATAGTAGTTAGTCCTAGCCAGAGAATGATCTGACCATGACAAGGGCTCAACAGCTATTTCCCCTATTGTCAGATCATTCTGCCACTGGCCCGAGACAAAAATTAGATCCAGCGTGTGTCCACCCGTGTGAGTGGGGGCATGAATTAATTGGGTCAAGTCCAAGGCCGTCATGGAAGCCAAGAACTCCTGAGCTGCCGCCGACGTCCCACCCACTGATGNAGTGAGGAATAGTAGTTAGTCCTAGCCACCCTCATCGCCACTAGGTAGGATCTAACATGTATCCTTGCCTGTGTTCGATCGGATTCGGTTCGGCTGGCCCTCCAACTGCTCTCTAGGCGTCTTTTCCGACGTTTCATCTCTCTCAGCTCCCCGGTGAACCAGGGAGCCAGTCGAGACCTACGTCGGGTCAGAGGCCGCATTATGCTTATATTTTACAGGATGTCCTTTTAAAATCTCAGTATTCGTTGTTAATTGATTCCAGGAGGAGCAATGGGTACCAACAATGATGAATACCAACCAAATTTTTCCCATAAGGAATAATGTAGTGAATCACAAGGCAGCCAACAAGTTCTAACTTTTGTGTTGAATATGAAACAAACAATGGGTACCCAGAGCAAAATTTTCACATCAAAATGCATTGAGTACCAATTTGGATGGCTTTCAAAGCAGCTGACTACCAAAGTACAACGGTCCTTGTGCAATTCCAAAATTATGAATTTTTACTATAGGAATGCTTTATACTTGTCTATAGTAAGATATGCCATTTTCATAAAGGATGTCAATTATCCTATTTTGGACACACCTGAGTAGATCTTGAAAAAAAAAAGTCAAATTTGATTTGTGCTTGGCTAAGAAAGCACCAGGCATAGGGAAATTAGAAAAAAAAACTTCCTGAAAGAAGCAATAGCAAACCAGTTCTTTACTTTGTCTAAAAAAAACCTTTGTAACATACATATAGCCTCATTAGAGGTCTCTAGAAGTGAACTTTTTTCAAAAGAAATGTTGCTTTATAGCTGATACAAAGCATAGGAATGATGGTGGGTTTGTTTGCCATTTGCCCTTGAAATGTTTTCTCTTTTAGCTGACTTTAGATGCAGGAGTAACTCACTTCTAAAGAACAATTGGAAAAAGGAGTTGAAGGGGAAGAGGAGAATTATGGGAAAGAGAATTCACTGCATTGTTTCCATTTACTTTTGAGGAATGTAAAAACTATATGTCTCCTACCCACCTTACTTTAGAATACCCAACATATGCTGGGCTGTTAAATCATCCCAGAAGTCCTTAATTCCCTATATCTGAGGAGATGAATTTGCAGGAATTCTTTCTGCTGTAACAATTATGCTGTACCATAATGAATAGTTCATCATACATTTTGCAAAATGTTTTGGATTATCCCCTAAGCCATATAAAGTCTCATCGCTTCATGCAAAATCCTTGCAGCATCTGTTAAGTTCAGTAGGTGTTTTTGTACCATGGAGTCCCCTTGTTGATTTGCTTGGGCTCAAGGTAGTTTCCCAAATACACTATGTCATTGTCACAGTTCTGCAATCTTCAAAGTGTGTTTATTTTATTTTAATAACCATATTATGCATCTGGTTATTATTATTATTTTTTGCTAAGTGTTTTACTCATTCTTTACACATGGCAAAGGAAACAAGATTCTAACCCTGCAATCCTACACAGGCCTCCTTGAAAGTGGTAAGCACTAACAAATTTAATGGGACTTAATTCCAAGTATTGAGGTGTTGAGATTTTGGCCTCTCTTAATGTACCAATGAGTTCATACAGATTCATATATCCATGAAGTACTGATCCATAATTTATTCAATTAACCCCACTTTCTGGATCTGCATGCTAAACTATTACACCAAACATGGTAATTACATTTGCCCAATTTGACTGGTGATGACACCAGTGGTTGACTGTTTGTGCTCTGGTATCTCATGTGAACTCACTCATGGAATTAGCCACTGACCTGAATTAACAGCTTCACGTTGTCTTGCTGAAACTAACAGTACTTTTTAAGAGTTTGGCAGCTACAGCTTTTAAAATGCAGAAACTGTGGCCATCATAAATTATTTGGCATGTAAGAAAGGTTTACTTGACAGATTTATCAAGTAATTGAGCAGTCACTTAAAGGAAAAAATGTCTTCCCCAGCAAGATTTGCTGTTTAATTTGTGTCCTTTAATGGAGATATCTGCCTCAAAAAGATCCCAGACAGATTTCAATTTTTATGTTACCATTCACAAATGTAACTCACCATAATTCTAAATTAACACCTCCAATATCTTTTAAAGAATATTGATATTAACCTTCAACTTTACTATCCACGTATTTGTGTTGCTTTTAAGATATGAGGTCCAAAAGCAACAGAGGGAAGGGGGTAAAAGCATCAGATCCCATCATATTTATATTCGTTAATTCAAAAGTCACTTTTATATAACATTTAAGTTATTACAAAGTAAATCTTCTTTTTACTGATTTAAATCTTCTAGTTGAAACACAGCATTGAGATGTGAAAAGAATTACTTGCTTTCTTTTCATCATGTTTTATAAATCTCTTTGAGGCAATCACATAAGCTTCCTCCAGGCACAATTAATGGCTTTCTTACAATAAAAAAAATGAGAGGTACCTATTTTGCAAACGTTTTCATGAATGTTGGAATGTTAGAAAAATTCTGAATAGCTTTCTGTATTGTTATTAAATTATGGATTTCCTTGAAAGGCTTTTGACATAACTTATTTTTAAACTAATAGGGTGAGATTTCCTCAATGAAATCCCAGAGAAAAACTAGATGCCAGTTAATTTAACATTTGATCTAAGTAATGATCTATCTATCTATCCATGCATCCATCCATCCATGCATCCATCCATCCATCCATCCATCCATCATCTATCTATCATCATTCAAGTTTCAGCCTACTTACCATTAAAAATAATTTGGAATTGGGATAATTTTGCAAAAACCAAAACAAGAGAAATCCTAATGCCATTGTTATTTCTTGGTAGAATGGACATAAGTGTTCACAAAAGTTGCTTGTTCAGATGAATAGCTTCAAAACGTTATTCAGCAAGAACCAAACCAAAAACCATTATTCTGATTAATAATAAATACTGCCAGATAAGAGGCCCAAATGACATGACAAAAAAACAGCTCTGCTTCATAACAAACTCTAACAGAGTATTCTCTATGAGCCTCTAATTCAGGGGTGTCAAACTTGCAACGTCATGTGATGTGTCGCGACGTATCACGGCTTTTTTTTCCATTGCCGGCAATGGGGTAGATGTGGTTTCGCCATGATGCATCTGGTCCGCATGTCGGCAGTTTGACACCCCTGCTCTAATTCTTAGACTAGTTTGGCTCTACCTGTTCTCATAATATGACATCGTAGCTATTCCACTTGTGGCCACTGGGAGGCTAAACAAATTATGGTTCAGTCCTGGGTAGAAAAAGGTTACCGACTTATGTCAAACACAAGCAATCATTTTGTGAGGCCCAGGTAGTATAACACATATTTCTTTTAGTATGCTTTTCAAAACAAAAATTATAGTGGTTTGGGATGGTTAAGTTTGCTAATGAAACTTTAGAAGGAGGAGCCATGCCTGTGACCTTTGAGGAGGTCTTTATGAACACTAAAGTGATTCTCACTATTATTTACCTTGTTTTTTAAAGAGACTGCTGTGTACAATTTCTGTCATTGATTGAACTTTTTGCTTCTGCAACTTTGCTGGAATGCAGGTGAAAAATTCATGTAAAAGCTGGCTGTAGGTAAAAAAGATAAAATCGATCAGAATGTTTGGTCAGGAAATTGCTAAGACTTAAAACAGTCATGCAAAGAGTATGAGGAGATTTTTGAGAAAAGGTAATATTAAACAAATAAGAAACTAGCGGGATATGGAGTCCCTTGGGTATAGCAAGGTAATTGGGAAAAAACCTTAATGAATAGAAAATTAAAGGCTCTATATCTAGTTGCAGGAATTTCATGCTTTCTGGGCAAGTTTCCTATGCAAATGGAATTGCTTACATTATGCCTGAAATTATGTAAGACTGAACCAGCAGAATTCAGATTTATGCTAGAAATGTACTGCAATCTGCAGCCAAAACTGAAGGCATCTAAATGCCCTGATGTTTTTGAACTCCAAATGTCATCCCACCTGAGCAATTTGACATCAAAGACTGTTTCTACATCTTGGAGAACAGATGCAATATACTTCAGGGCAGCCATCTGAAAGAAAAATAACATAGTTGATCATTTTTTATGTTTTCCAAAAGTCCAAATAAACTTACATAATTTAGAGCTAGGTTTCACTAAAAACCCAAACAGAACCTATATCCAGAAGTGTCCACAGGTCTTTAGTATAAAGAAACCAACAACAGTGAAAGAATAGAAAATAATTTTAGATTTTGCCAGTGGTTTGTTCTCCAAGCTTGTTTCAATATATTTCTGAACATTTCATTACCAAACTAGGTAACATCAGCAGCAGGATTTCCCTGTCCTATTCTCCTTAGCTTATAAATGTCTTGTGTGCCAGTGTAGTTAGTTGGTTGTGCAATTGGTTGTCTGTTTAGAGCTATATTTAAATTCTGAGCAGCTGATTGGTTCTCTTGTTGATTGGCAGTTTGAATCGTCTGGTTTCTTACATATTCATATGCTGGATCTAGATCAATATGCTTGTTAATTGCTCCTTTGGTAGAATGCCAGGCCTCAATAAATTCATGTGTGTGACAGATGTTGGCATGCCCAATGATTTTTTGTTCCTTACCAATTAAATTGGTGTTATTTATCATCAATGTGTTTGAGATCAGGGATTTTTGGTCATGCTGTTTAACTTCTAGTTGATTTTCATGAACCTTTGTTTTCAACTGCCTTCCAACAATATCTTCCAGACTATTTTTTACTGAGAAATGCCTTACACTAACTTTTCATTTATCAATATTACAAGCCTATAATTTTTTCCTAAGTCTCCTGCTATTGACTCATACTTACAGCAATTATATGCAGACTTTCTCAAACTCCACTGTCAAGTCATTTAGAGACAATTTTTTCATGGTGAATTGAACTTCCATATGTTCTTAACAATCTAGATTTGCTAGAAATGGCTCCCACTGTGCATAATAGGCATACATTTTCTTTCTTTGGGGAGGTTCCTATTTTAAGGAGCTTCCTTCTGGGAAAAAAAAGTTACTGGGCACATGGGATCGGTAGAGGTCCTGGGTATCAGTAGAGGCCCCTCCCTATCCTGAATTCTAAATTCTGGAGGCCAAATTAGATCACTATAACGTGAAGCAGCTTCAGGAAGCCCATGTTCACAACAGAACTACAAGATTAAGCAAATCATGTGTGTACCCTTTTTTCTCAACAATAGTACAATAACTATTATATTTACCACTAAAAAGCAATAACATCTTGGATTCTGACTTAGGGAACTTTTCTAAGAGGTACATCTTGCTTTCTCTAGGTCACTTTGACTGTTAAATAAATTCCACAGAATAGTGAGAAAGTCTCCTGCGTTTCAGAGGCTTTTTTAACGATACAGTTACATATTGATTCATCTGCTCTCTTATTCTCTCCCAAATCCACTTTCCAAAATACAATTATTACAGTATAAAAGTTGAATGGATACATTTCACCATTTCTGGGATATGAGGAAAAGGGATGCGTTATATAAGCCTAATGTGGATTGTCTTCTGCCTCAACCTTCAAGAAATATATGCAGAACTTCAGGTTGAATGTTGGGCTTTGGTTCGGTTTAAATTCCCAAAGCTGTGAAGTTAACAGAGTGAACTGGCCAATCGTATTTTCAATAATACACAATCTTCAAACTCCAGGAGGAATATAAATCAGCTGTTTATTGTTAAAAAAATTAAAACAACAAAAGCAACTATTTACAATACTAAAACAAACTTAGCTTTCGCTGATTCACTGTCAGCGTCTTCAGAGTGAAGTGTTGGGGGTGGAGAGATCTCTTATAAGCCTTGATAACCTAGTTTCTTACTCATTGACCGTGTGATAGGGCCATTCGTCCTGACCGACCGTAATTGCCTTAATTGTCCCGCCTCCCCTTGTTTGCACTCCAGTTCCACAACGTCTCTCCCTCCCCTCCTTGTCCATCTTCTCCTTCCTGGTGTTGTTGCCATTGGTATGCCTTCTAGCCGCTCCCCCACACTCACTTTGGGCCATGGGTCCAGATCCAGTATCCCAGAGATTCGGATTTTCACAGTCATTAAGTGTATATATATACAATCAGTAAACTTTGATGGTTTAGCTTGAAAAAAAATGCTCGTAATAAGCAAAGCCATTCAGAATATTAGCCGTGCTCATGGCTGTTGATTATTTATGAAGGGGTATTTGACTACTCCCACTGCAACTTTAAAATTTAGGTGGTTCCATCACAACAAATTTATGACTGTAGAGGATATGTGATGGAAATTAAGAGTCTCTCAAGTTTGGTAACAAGAAAACAAGTCTTTGTGTTCTTTTATTGTCAGGGCAATGGAACTGAAATCATAGCACAAAAAAAATAAAAAATTCTTTTCACTCTCCCCCCCAATATAGTGTCCAATAATGCTGTCCAATAGAGAAGCACTAGAGTTGTGGGAATACTGCTTGTTCCACTGACTACATATATGAAGAGATGTTAATGACCCACTGAGTATTACACTGCTATAATTTGCATAGGAAAGTAAATACGCAATAAATAGCAGTTGACAACAAGCTTCCCTTCCAGGATTATAAGATGCTTCTGAACATCAGTTGCAGAGAAAGAACAGCAGGAAAGGGCTATGTATCCATCTCCTCCTTCTGAGCATCAAACATTGTTTGTTTGTTTGTTTGTTTGTTTGTTTGTTTGTTTGTTTCTACACTGCCTATCTCATCTAAATGACTCTGGGTGGTTTAAAATAAACACATAAAAACTGGTTTATATACATAAATACAGCAAAGTTAAAACAGAATTAAGAATGAAGTTAAAATTAAGATTTTTGTTGTTGTTCAGTCACTAAGTTGTGTCTGACTCTTCGCGACTCCATGGAGCATAGCATGTTAGCTCCCTCTGTCCTCCACTGTCTCCCTGACTTTGCCCAAATTCGTGTCCACTGTGTCAATGACACTATCTAACCATTTCATCCTCTGCCATCCCCTTTCCTTTTGCCTTCAATCTTTCCTAACATAATTTTTCCAAAGATTCCTCTCTTCTCATTAGGTGGCCAAAGTATTTGAGCAAAATTAAAATATTACAAGTTTTTTTTTAAAAAAAAAGCAGAGGGAGCATGGTCACCTCACCAGCCATCCACAGAGTCACAGACTCTCTTTGATTTCCATGCCATGTCCCATGTCTTCCTCAACCAGGCTCTTCTTATGTTCTAACCGTTGGCATGATTGATTCCATTTCACCTCCATTTTCAAGGCACAGTATTGTGCACCTTCAGTCCATTAAGAGAGCTAACATGAAAAGTCATTTTTATAATACTGCTGGGGTAAAGGAACCTGGTGAATTTAAATGTGTTATATATTTTTATCCCATATATCTTTCAAGAAACGTAGAGTGATGTACATTTTGCATAACTTATATTATGTTATATTTATGTTGATCTTAGCCTTTTGCAGTCAGCAATTCTGGAGATTGTTTGTTTCACTTTCAAAACAGCTGGAAACATAAACCTACAAAAATAATATTATAATAAAATGCAGCCATTGATAATAAAAGTTTAAATTATTTCTCAAGTAGGAGTCACACTATTTAATACTAGTAGTAATATAGAACATTAAATTTAATCAAATAACTATCTCAGCAAAATTCAGCCTAAGAGAGAAGGGTGTAACAATGAGGCAAAAGGTATAAGGAAGCTTAACGGGATACCCTAAAACATAAAAAGCCTCCAATCTGTTGATTTTTTATAGATAAACCTCCAAGGCTGATCTCTGCATTTAAACAAGCTCTATGGATTCAGATACTCCTTCAAAAATCTTGACCTACATCATTTTTATCTTGTGTAATCTGTCTCTAATAAAGAATAATGTCTAAAATGTTTGGAATGGTTAATATAAAGGACATTTAAAGATTAAACATATGGTTAATTATGGTTAAAAGGAATAGAATTTTTTTGGAAATAAATGTATATTATTTTAAGATGTACTTTAAATAGCATACTATTTTTTATTCTTTCTTCCTTTTTTTTCTTTCTTCTCCTTTTTTGTTTTTTTTTTAATTTTTTAAGATATGAAAAATGTAAAAGTGTTGGGATGGCTTCTATGAAGAAAATAGACTTAAATATTTAAATGTAATCAACTTTGAGAAAATCTTAACTAGTAAGAATGTTTTGAACATTGTGGGGAAAACAAATTTAAATAAGAATTGTGAACAGGATTTATGATGAGGCAACCAAGATGTCTAGATAGAAAAGAAGCATTATATGGATGTGATTATTATTTGTAGAAATGTTGGAAAAATCTTTATACTTAATTGTTACTTATCAAAATAATAAGAATTGTATTAATTCAAGGTTGGCAAAGAGAATATTATTGGAAGAAGAGAAAATCAAGCAAAGCTACTATGTGGATTATAGATTATTGTTAGTGATTGTTTAATATAAACCCAGACAACACGCTGTTTAACAAATATTATGGCGTTTATATTAAAAAAATCAATAAAATATATTTACAAAAAAAGAATAATGTCTAAAGAATCCAGAAGTTCAAATTTCCCAAGAATAATTAATACAATGTGATAAGAATGTGAACTTGAGACATGCTCATGAATATATGCATTTTTATCACTCTTTCCAAAATATGCCTTTCACAATGTTACAGACCTATAAAAATGTACTCTCCTTTCTCCACCTTGAGCTACTTTCAGTTGAAGTGCCTGACAGTGACAGCATTTTCTTCAGGTCAAGGACATAAAATTATTCTAATTATTTAGAGAGGAGTAGGAAATCGTAACTGACTTTTTGTGGCATTGCTAGATCCCTTTAACAAAAATACTATACACCAGGCAGAAGTTTCTAAAAAAAATTCTTGACGGGGGGGGAATCTCCTCTCCTCCTAAACTTAGAGCCAGAACTAAGATTATTTCTGCAGTTTCACTCTGCATCATTTGCTAAGCTTAATGTTATGACTGAAGTGATTCTTCCACCTCATTTATATCCAGCTCATGTACACACTCCTGTGGTATTTCCATTTTTGTGTCTACCTTTCCTAATATATTTAGCACCTTATCTTTTCCCACTGCATAAAGCCGACATAAAAGAGGCATTTCCTTTCCTTGTGGTTTCAACCTCTCTGCATCCTACTGCAACGATCCAAAATATTAATCCATAAACTGTAATTTATTATATTAGGGCATGCTGAGGATACCTCTGATTTCTAAATACCTATACTTTTAAAATCTCCTCTGTGTGAGCTATCAGTTATTGTCCTAACTGCACTGCAAAACCAAAACTGTTTCCACTCTCACTGGTCTAAAAGATAAGGACAATAATTATACAAAAGGGTTCCTTTAGATACCTTCTTTTTTTTCCCTTAGAGTCAACAACAGGTCTCTGGATTGCAGCTTAAAGCAAGCAAACAATGTTGCCGGGTAGTTAAATAGTTTTTTAAAAGTAGAGACATCCATTTTTAGCCTTGTTATTCTGACTTTTATACTACAGGTTCCAAACTGCAGATCTTTAACACTAAACTGGAAAGGTGGGATTCAAAGTAGAATTTATGTTGGTACCGGTGTTTTTTCTTTACTAGAGTGCTCAGTTGTGCCACATTGCAGGCTGATTGATTGTCCAGAGCTTAGCAGCAGGATTACTTGGGTTATAAGATTTCATAATGCGACCTCAAAAAACAAAATGACACACAGGATGTCCAAACAGATAAATCAATCTCTGCTTAACCTGCTTGGTACTTGAGCGTGTATTTTCACATATATATGTAAAACAATCCTTTGTCAAGGACAAGTGGTAGACATTTTTTGAAAGGCAGAATTAATTTTGAGCAATTGTAGAGCAAAAGAGAACATATACAGACCTTGACTTACAACCAGAACTGAGCCCAAAGCTTCTGTTGCTAAGCGATAGCAGTTGTTAAGTGTATTTTGCTCTATTTTACGACCTTTCTTGCCAGAGTTGTTAAGTGAATCCCTGCAGTTTTTCGGTTAGTAACGTAGTTGTTAAATGAATCTGTCTTGCCCATTGACTTTGCTTGTCAGAAAGTTGCAAAAGGTGATCATATGACCCTGGGACACCGCAACCATCATGAATATGAATCAGTTGCCAAGCATGTGAATTTTTATCATGTAAACATGGGGATGCTGACTGGAGAATTCTGGGAGTTGAAATCCATACATCTTAATGTTGCCCAGTTTGAAAATCACTGATCTAAAGCACTGAAGGAAAAAAATAGGCCAACCTGTAATAAAATAGCTGTCTTGTGTTGACTTCTCATCAGGTTGTTGATTGACTCAAAAAGCCTCCTCATGGCTTCTTCAAATTCTGTCAGTTCTTTACCTTCATATAGTCTGAAAGAGGAGAAAAAATACAATAGTGTTTCAAATCTGAGCTTCAGTCAAACAAGATAAGGTATTGAATATTACTACATCAGATACATATCTCAAACAATACTTCTAAATCTACTCATGGATCCAGCACTCTTTTTTCCCCTTCCTGTTAAAGCTTTTAAGGAATCATCCCTAAATCTAGTTGGGTTACTGGAGAAAGCAATTACGTTTGGAAAAGTTAGAGGTAAAAGGAAACCAGGCCAACAAAGAACATGGTGACTAGACACCATCAAAGCTGACACCAGTCACAGCATAGAACAACTTAAAGAAATAGTGCAAGACCGGAAATGTGCAGAGACCTGGCCCATAGAATCACCAAGAGTGGGGCACAACTGAATGGATAGCATCATCATCATCATCATCATCATTATCATCCAGTTGGGTCATCTAATGCAACTTCCTGACTGGGACACACTGTGCCCTAAACCAGAGTTTCTCAATCTTAGCAAATTTAAGATGTGTGAACTTTAACTTCTAGAACTTCTAGCATGCTGGATAAGGAAAGCTGAAAGTTGAAGTCCACACATCTTAAAGTTGGCAAGGTTATTGCTCTAAATGTATGTTGCTGACTATTCATCTCTGAGCGTTAAACAGATTTTTTTTCTGGCATTATTGAAATGAAAGTCAGGCAGCAGGTCTCTAACTCATACCAAAATAGAGGAAAGTTTCTTTAAAATGAATCTCATCTGACAAAAAAAAATCCAAGAGGGGATTCTCCTCAGTTGCCTGTCCATCAATTACAGCACCTTCTGAATAAAACAAGTTAGATAAAATATGGCATGCGTACTTTAGTATGCAACTAAAGAATACTTTTGTTCTTAATTGGCATATGTACAAGGTCAGTTGAAAATTGTTGCTTACTTTCCTATTTATATAAGTTCCATTTTTTTCTGACTCATTCCTTCTCGTTCAATTTTAATAAAGAATTAAATATTGTAATAAAAGCTTGAATTGTTGTCATTAAGTTGACTAATGAGCAAATCAGGATCTCTCCTATCAAAATCTCTTTGAGAAATCCTCAAAAAAAACACAAATCCAAACTTAGAATGATGATGGAAATGATGTAGAAAAGAATAGCAGAAATGATGAGGGGCTTGGAACTAACTCCTCCAAATAACAGTTATATGAACTGAGTAAATGTTGCCTAAAAGAGAAGGAAATAAGAGCAGTATGATAGAGCAGTACTTGATAGAGGAGTTGCAGGAGAAGCGATATAGTATTATTATTCATAGCTCCTGTGAGTAGGACAAGAATGGGTGGAGGTTTTTCAGAGGGACATCCATATTCAAACTAAGTAGGAACTTCTGGAATGAGAAAACTATGGGTCTCATGGGGTCATGGATGCTCTATCGCTGGAAATTTTCAAGCCATTTGCCTGGGATGATATAAAGATTTCTGCCCTGCGCTGAAAGTTGGATTAGAAGTCCTCCAAAGTCCTTTCCAACCTTATCTCCCTATGATGACAGCTGTTAATACAGAAATACCTCTCAATCTCTTCTCCTTCATAAGAAAGTTAGGGCATATTACAAGCCCTAAGGGCAAGCCAGATAAGGGATATATGTATACATGCAAAACCTACATGGAGATGACAGAACCCAGTGGAAGCATTTTAGCAAAGGGCTATTTAAAACTCAGAACCAAGAGCAATCCAGAAGAGGCAGATTTTTATATCCTTAAGCTATCTGGATAAATATTCTCCAAAATTCCCAACACAGATTCTACAACTTCAGTGGGCAGTTTGCTTCAATAAATAAGTACACTATTATTTAGTTCATTCTTCCCACTAACTAATTAAGGTCTTTCTCATTCTCCTTTAAAGACATTGGTCAAGTCACACTGTCCTATGTTTTATACAGCAAGTGTAACAAATTGTACTTTTCTCCTTTCTTCCCTTTCTATTTCTGAGTGCTTTAATTGTTAACTGCACTTAAATTGTTTGTTATTTGAACTAGGCATCATGGATTCTGTTAAAAAAGCCTTACTTTCAAATTGGCTTGGTTCAAAACCAACCACAGAAAGTAGCCACAGTTTCTTATCTATCTTTATTAGACTTTGTCCCATTAATGTTCTTTTTAAAAATGGCATTTGGGTCAGATTGGGGCCAAACCATATCTGCTTGCCTATAGTCAAAGCCTGTAAACAATAAAGTCCGTAACACAAATAAAACTATATGCCATCCAGAGTTCTCTGGAGTTGGTGACCAATACATTTAAATCAATAAATAATAAAAGGTGTCATCAATTTTCTTCCTAAAGTTCCCATCAATATAATATTTGATCAAAGCATGTAGCATTAATCTGTCCTCTCTAAACGTATAGGGGAATTTCTGCACTGCCACAAAAAAGGAATTTCTTAGGTACCTGCTATGACTGGACCTCCTATAGTTTGACAAATTATTATTTAAGAGGTCTATTTATTTATTTATTTATTTAGCATATGATGAGAACATGACAGAAAAGAAGTAAACTGAGGCTATGTTGCATATGTCCTATCCATTTAAGCTGCTCTTATGCTCATGCTAGTTCTAAGTCCTGTCCAGAATGAAATGCCTCGGGAACAGCAGGCTCGGGAAATGCTCCTTTGGGCATTTCTTAGGTGCTGTGCCCTCCCACCTTTGTTTTTCAGGAAAGCAAGTGTCAATCGCTTTCATTTCTGGGGTCAAATCTACCTGGGACAGAAAGGGTATGTGAATGTGCCCTATGTAAAATCAAATAATAACCAAACAGACATGAAATGTGAATTGGGTTACCAACCACCCTGAATATTATATCTCCACAGTGTTTCCAAAACTGAATGTTAAAAATACATCCTTTAGTTGCATAATTTTATTCAAATCAAATGTCATCTGCTTTTTTCTTTTCTTTTTTCCTTGCAGAGAAAAATTAGCATTCAAAGCTTGCTAATTAAAAGCAATATTAAGGCTGTTCCAGATCTACATTAGATAATAATAGCATTGTGGCCTTCATTATGTTCAGCTTATTAACGGTCATTAAACATGACTTAATCTTCTTTATTAGCAAATAAATCTAACAATTCAGGGAGGCTGAAACAAAAGAACGAAATATATGTAATTATACTTTGGTAGACAAGGTCTATCTTGTCCAGAACTTTTATTTAGAGAAGAATTCAAGCACCACATTGGAAACCTACCCTCACGTAATGAATCAGGCATATCTCATAGTACTCCACACATTTTAATAGTACAATAGAGAAACTGAAGTAATAACAAAAGTTATAAATAGTGCATCTGGCATGTATGCAACATTAGCTTTGAATGGACAAAAATGTTCATTTTATTACTTATTATTTTATTTTTCCCTGCTTCTTGTTGCCCCTTAAGACCCCCCATTCAGGCAGAAGAATTGCAGATGCTCATGGAGATGATGCAAGGACTGTTATGTGGGGATAGAATCAGCAAGGAAACCTTCCTGACTCTAAGACATTCTGAGAATTCTAATCAGAAGCTCCTTCCTCATGGAAAAACCCAACTCATTCTTAGGAAAAGGAATGGGAGGGATGTTAAAAAATTGTGAACAACTTTTTGGAAAGCCATTCACTGTGTGTTTGTGTCGTGTGTGTGTGTGTGATTATTTCAGCTACAAAGGCAAAGCCACTCTTAAACTGAGTTTAGGACCTGCTACTACCTGGACTCAGCCATGTCTCTTTTTGGCAACAGTTCAGAAGCCAATCTTTCTAACAGGGTGTTACCCTTTCAAGACTACCGAACTGATACCCCTTGGCAGCCTCCCATCTGAGCAGCCCCAGCTAGGCTTAGCTTTCAAGCAGTGGCCTGTGTAGAGTTCTATGGTCCTCCAAGCAAACCTCTCAGAAGTTCTCCTAACACAGTCATATAATAATGTAATTGAAACATTAATTTATTCCCAATACCTTGGGAAAATTGGTACTACCTGAGAAGTACCAATTCTGCAACAGGTGAAGGCTCACCCAGCCAAGCAAAAATGTTTGAGGGCTCTTTGGCAAGGCAACAAAGGATAGATTACGAAGAAGGATGGAGCAGTACTGCAAGATATTGCTGAAAAGGCAGCCATTGCGATCTGCAGCCCATCATTATTATTCTTTTTGCAGATTCCCCTCTCCCTCTCTAATTAAAACAAAGCAGGTGAGAGATTATGAACATAAAACAAAGCAAGCCAAATAAATGGGAGAGATTTCAGGATGGGAATATTCTGACAGGAAATTCCAGTTAAGTCATGTATAGCAAAGCTAATGCCCTCCAAATCTTTTGGACTATAGTTCCCACAATACCTGCTGGATCAGAAGGAAATCCAGCTTCCACATTCCTTTGTTAACTCATTTGTATTGTATGAGGCAAAGTGAGGAAGAAAGAGCCAGGGCAGGGTGGAGGCTTGGTTTGTGGGCTCCAAGGCGGTTATCTCCCATATTTGGACTATTTATGTACTGTTGCTTCTAAGCCCAGACAGGAATGACCAGTTGCTACTATCTGCTGTTATACAGCAGCAGATCTCTCTCCAGGCTCCCCATGATGGTAACCTTCAAGAATACTTACAAAACATTATGTATTTGGTCCATTTAATATACTCAAAAATATCTGCATATTTCTTCAAACAACAAAGAAATGCTTCTATAAAGATATTGTGCAATTAAAGAATATGAGTGACACTTTATCTTATATTTGCTTTCTAACATGCAACGCTCTTAAAGGGTGCAATTATTTTTCTGCAATTTGTAACTCCTTTATATCTGAGAAAGAGGTTGGGAAAAGTTGCCTAAAGGCAAGGAACCCAGCCTATTGGTCCTATCCACTTCTAGCCCAACTCCCTTAGCTTAAATATAATTGCCACAATTATTGCAAAGCATTACCTAAACACATATATTGTATCACATAGATGCCCCTTGGCAATTATTGCCTAACATTCAGGGATAATCATATGCCCTGCTTTAGGCATAGGACCAGCCATGTGAAGAGCTAAAGAAGGCTT